GAGGGCAGCGGCCTCTGTGGGAGGCGGCGGGCCGCTGAGAGGACAAGGGCCCTCTCGGAAGGGCCCGGGAGTTTCCTGGGAGGGCCTCCTGCCTCCTCCTCCTCCACCTCCTCCTCCTCCTCCTCCTCCTCCTCCTCCTCCTCCTACTCCTCCTCTTTGTCCTCCTCCTCCTCCTCCTCCTCCTCCTCCTCCTCCTCCGCCTCCTCCTCATCCCTCCACCTCCTCCTCCTCCTCCTCCTCCCTCCTCCTCCTCCTCCTACTCCTCCTACTCCTCCTCCCCCCTCCTCCTCCTCCTCCTCCTCCTCCTCCTCCTCCTCCTCCTCCTCCTCCTCCACTCCTTCTCCTTATAGATAACTCCTCCCTGTCGCACCCCGAGGGCAGTGTTGCCGGGCGTTTCGCCTGAGACTTTCTCACCACTTAGGACTCTGAAGCTTGACAAGTGACAACAGCTTCACAGATGGAGGGCGGGTGGCTTTCGAAATGTGGCACGAGTTCCACGGATTGAGGGCGGGTCGTTTTTTAATGTGGCTCTCGCCGTACCGCCGCGCGCATTCGTTTTAAACATTTGCAAGAGCTTCACGGATTTAGGGCGGGTGTTTTTTGTAAATGTGGTTCTCGCCTCAGCGCCGCGCGCATTCGTTTTCAAGCAAGAGCTTCACAGACCGAGGGCGGCTCCTTTTCAAGATGTGGCTCTCGCCTGAGCGCCGCGCACATTCGTTCTTAAAATTTGCAAGAGTTTCACAAATATCCATGGTCCGCGTACCAGAAATGCTGCTCTGGAAAGATTCCGGATTATGCGGGCGCGACAGTTATGTTGACTCGCGGTGCTGGAATCCAAAAAAATGGTGCTCTGGCACGAGTCCATATCTTCAAGATGCAGCAGTCAGGTTGACACGTGGCGTTGACATCCCGAGAACAATGCTTTGACACGCTTCAGAATCTTCAAACGGTTGTCTTCCAACGAGGCAGTTCCCTCAATGAAAATGAACCGTTGCAGGGGCCTATGAAGAGGGAGCTTGGAGGGAGGGTAAATTCCAGCATCGGTGATGACTCTTGGTTTTACACTGGTCCTCCTCCTTCTCCTCCTACTCCTCATCCTCCTCCTCCTCCTCCTCCCCCTCCTCCTCCTCCTCCTCCTCCTCCTCCTCGCACGTCGCCAAGAGAGCGCATCAGTCCTCAGCTCCTGACTCTACCTCTGGCAATCTGGGCCTGCACAGCGGGGAGGACCTGGGCTTCCAGATCTCCTGAAATTGGTTGGGGCAGGCCTGCCACACGGATAAAGACAAAATAAGAGGCACACATACGGAGAATGGATGATTCAGAGGGAGAGCAAACGCCGAGACGGTGGATGGGACACTCTGGAATAGCAGCATCATGCAGAGCAGCACGGACCATAGCCCACATCCGTGGGCAGCACCAGTAGTGAACAAAACTGTCAGGCTGGCCCCGACATTGGAATATGCATTGCTTGGCTTCTCTGTCATGCATCCTGAAACTTGTGATCCAGGCCCCGCTCAGGGTGCGCCAAATGGCGTGCCTGAATGCGGGAGGAAATCTCTTGGCGACATTCTGTACTTCGCTCCAATTAATTCCTCGAATTAATTGTCTCTTTGCTGGAAAATATCGGCACCACCTTATACTCCAGTCGCCGACCAACGAGTCGGGCAAAAACTCGGCCCCAAAGGCTCGAATAATCGCTCCCTGGATTTTCATTCTTTTCGACGGGTTGTCCATGCGTCTACGCTCGGCCAAGACACTCTCAGCTGCAGCCAAAGCTTTCTCACCTGCTCTCTTGTGGGCAGGGGAGGAGAACGGAAAGCCCTTCGCGGCATTCCTGAGGTTCTCGACAAAAGCGGGGGCTTTCCAGAAACTTGGGTATTTCTTTCCTCGGCCAATGTCTTGGAGAGAGAGGCACCTCTCAGCTTCGCTCTCCAGCATACTGTATATCGTACGCCATTCTGGCATTGTGCTAATCGCTGATCTCATTAAAATGCTTGCACACAGCGCTTCTATGCTCTCTATCTTGGGCCCTCCCCATTTCCAAAGCGAGCAAAGGGACGCTCTCGAGAGAGCACAGTTGGGGAGCGAGAAGAGAGAGGCGAGGGAGGCATGCTCAAGACGACAGAGAGAGGGGATAGAAGGAATACTACTTGGCAGCTCGGCATACTGGGCTACATAAGACACCGTGGGCAGGGCTCTTTTATTGTACAAATACTCGGCGACAGCAGTTGGCGTGGTTTCTCGGGAAATTTGGGCCGCACGGGTGGCCCACTTCTTCAACGGAGCTTCCCAAGCCTCGGTGGAGGCGCCAGGCCCCAGGACCATCCCGAGGTACGTGACGAAGGCCACGATTTTAAAATCTTTCCACGCTGGGATATTATTATCAATCCAAATTCTATACCTGGCTGCCTCAATCTCAGAAAACTCTCCACTCAGTGGCACGATGAAGCACTTGCTGGTCTTCAGCTTCAGCGCTGCCAGCCTGTAGCTGTTGTCGAAG